GCTCAGTAGGTTAGGCATTCATCTTTGGCTCAGGTCATGATCCCAGGGTCCTAGAACTGAGCCCCATATCGGGCTCCCTGCTCAGTGGGGAGCCTGCTTCTCCCTCTCCCCTCTGCTCATGCTATCTCTTGCTATCTCTCTCTCTCTCAAATAAATAAAAAAAAAAATTTTAATGCATACTGAAAACCTGCACTTGGTAAAGAAATAAACCCACAAGAATTTATGTATAGGTCCCATCTTTGTAGAACAACTGTCCTGTTCTGGCCAAGATGATTTCTAGCCCTGAGGTTCTACAACATTCATCACTGGTTTCTAACTTTAATAAGTGACAAAAGTGATTTTCATCAATTATAGAATAAAACATCAAGTCCTCTTCCTCCCTAACATGGACCTCTGAGCACTCCTTTGGACTACGCAACTGTTTAGCTCTCTTAATGATGGGTCTTATTTTAAAACACACATACACACACACAAAATCACAAGAGGCTTCAAGTAGCAGAAAATTCTTTCAAGTAGAAACATTTTTGTCAGAGTCCAACTTGTATGTATTAAGAAGCAACAACATACCTCTGTAGACTTCATTTACCTCCAGGTTTTATTTCACTTAAGTCATAACAATTACAGAAAAGATACCCATCTGCAAATTGTAACGGCTGCCATTTAGAATGCATCTAAACCACAAAATTGAATTCAAGGAATACCTTCATCGCCTTTATTAGTGTAGCAAATTTAATCAAGGTCAGTCAAAAGTTACAGTGGAACATGCACAAACATGAAATACCAAGTAGTTAATTAGAAACAGCTACCTCATTTTGGGTGTAAATAATTATGTACAACCTTCATTTATGAAGAAACAGAACTAACGACCCTCTGTTAGAAAAGTCCTCACTTCAGTTTATCCTATCCATAGTGCTGATGAATCGGAGTCCAGCCTCCCATGTGACTAAAGGTCAGGCAGTCTTACCAATGTAGCCTGTGAGCTCCAGGAGGCATATTTTATACCTCAACTCCCACCCCAGGAGTGACTTTACAGTAGGACCTCAAAATATGTTTGGGCAATCAGATTCCTAAAGGGAAGCAGCATGTTTTTGAAGAACACAGGTTCAAGTCAGACCGGTTTAAATGGAAGTTTTGCCTCTGTGGCAGACTCCCTGGGCAATCTGAGCAATTTTCTAAGAAAAAAAAAATTTATTTTCTCTCTCTGAGCCCATTCAATCAAGTGTATAGGGAAATAAGGAAAACATCTACCTCACAGAAGTGTTTTAAGAACACACATACATCTACCCATGCAAATGAATTATTTACTATAGTATCCGGTCTTCAGTAAGGCTCAATAAATAGTATGTTATAATTTAATTATTACAAAGACTGCCCAAAAGAGAGAACACTCCCAAAACTTGACCTTAATCAGAACTGTCTCCAACACAAATGTTTCTGAGAGCTTAATTCAAAATGTTGACAATTAATTTCAAAGACCTGAATGGGTAGGTCCTTTTACCCTCTTAAGTAATTTTCTATTAATTCTCAAATCTTAATTATCTAAATGTTATCAGGCTTAAGTCCTCACCCAGCTTTCACTGACAGAATTGCACCCAACTTCATATCTCAGTATTATGAAGTAAATGTACAAGCTTGAATGAGAAATGAGGCCAAACCTTTCAGTAATCCAGTCATCCATGTGCTGTTCTATATGAAGGAAACATTCTAGAAACTACCAAGAATTTAAATCCAAACACGAAAGTGATGCATTGTCAACAAAAGATTTCTAATATCGAGTTTAACATTGAAAGTAAATTGGAAAACCCTCCCAAACAGAAAGTTTAGTCTTTTAATTACAGTATTTTCCTAAGTTGAAATACGTGACCCAGTTGACAACATCAGATGATAAAGAAGGTTTAAGATTCTATCTCCTCTTCTACCAAGGAATTTGATGTTGCAAACAAAAAAAAACAAAACAACCTTTGAAATCTAAAACTATCAAATTCTGAGTAAACAGCCTTTTACTATGTAGAAAGCAACTTAATACTTAAAATTTTGCTATTCTTGTACCAAAGTTAAGGGTTACCTGAAAGATTTCCCTCATGTTTTGGGTCTGTGGATGTGGGTGGATTCTTCTAAATGCCTTATTATTGGGCATCAATTTATTACACGAGGTCTTATCCCCACATTTACTGCCAAAATAAAGTCCTTTGCTAACATACCCTCTAAAACCTAGAAGAAATGAATGAGATAACTACCAAAGTTATCAAAATGGAAAGGCAGGGGGAGGTGAACTTTTGACAGACACGCTGAAGGTTTATTTTCTTGGTTCATTTCCTTACAAATTTCCTACAGCCATACTCTTAGATATAGCTGAATTTTCTAACACAAAGTAAATTGAAACAAATCATAATGAAAGGTTAAAATTTCTGCAACAGAAGCCACTGTCATTTCCAACAATGCAACTATTGTTTAGAGAGTCTCACAGATTCTTGGACACAGTGGTGAAGCAAGGCTGGGGGGGGGGGGGGAGAAAGCATACTTGAAGGAATTTCTCCACCTCTGTATTTTAGTTCGTAATGGAACAATACTGCACCTTCAAAGTAGAAATACCATGTAAAATCTGGTTCTCATTAAATGACTGCCTTAGCCCCATGCAGCATATTTGGAACAGAATCCAACTGATTCGCAATCAGTCAACCTTCTATTACTCATCTATGCGAGATGGCCCTGCAATTTCCCTCAATGGGAGCCTTTTCTTCTAAAACCCCGGGGAATACTGTAGCTACCACACTCTGATTTAAAAGACTCCAAGAAAATTACAATGAAAATAATGGCAGATTTAGTCCAGGGAACTTGCATAAGTAAAAATCAAAAACCTGAGATAAAGGGTAAAATAAAAAAGCCTTCCACAAGCCACTAAATTATAAATCTGAGCAGGAAAAAAGAAATCTTCTCTGGAGAAAGAATGTCTATTTCTAATATTTTTTAATATATCAAGTTTGGTTTTCAAAAAAATTAGGCTTAGGAAACATGCTAAATAAGCAAAACTAGAATACAAGACATACACACACACACACACACACACACACATCAAATTAATCACTGCATTATGTTTAAAAGGCAAGACAATTGAAAAAGATTTGATACTCCAGTTGAAGACCCTCCAAACTCCTCTGAAATGGTAGATTATTTAACACTCTTGGAATGATTAACTTTATTTAGCATGCCTCTTTTGGAATTCTATTATTTAATACAGCCAAACCGATTTTTTTTTTTCATCCTAATTAGGTTTCCTTGTACTTGTGAAATGCTCAGCATACACTGTGCTGGCAGCTTTAGTTCTGCAGCTTCTTTCTTCTGGCTCCTTCCCCCCTCATCCAATCCCCCCCCCCACCCCCCAAAAAAAAGATTTCCTTCCCAAATGTTCTCTTCTCTGCATTTGTCAACAGAAACACCCACTGGTGGTGTCAAACTGGTAATACCGCTGCAGGCTTCCTTACTCCTGTTCCAGTGTGAACGGCCAACAATGCTTAAACCTAAAATAGTACTTTTAATAAGGAAATTAAAAGAACTGCTAAGGTATTCAAGTACCATGCTCTCAAAAAGAGGCATACGTTTTTTAAAAAATGTATTATTAATGGACCCTAACTGGGTTGCTAAATATAAGATTATACTACCCTCCCTTCAACAGTAAACACACAAGTAAACACCGTTCTTCACATTTTACGAATATTTTAAAACACTTAGAAACAAATCTACATCTAAATGTTATTCACATACAATTCCGAATAGCCTCCGTAAAGATGCCTTTTTTGCAACCCTATAGCAAGAAAGGAACACACTGGAAATGTTACCTAAAACGATAATCCTATTTCATACATATTTATGTCTCCCGTTTTCGTCAAATGCTCTCAGACAAATTAATTTGTGCAATCTCGTACATTAACTACATAACCATTAACGTCCAAACAAACCTAATTCAGATTCACGGGAAGAAATTATTCTGTCTGCAATACTTTCTAAAATCAGCCTAAATTTCAGGCAATTAAAATAGATGGTATTAACAGAACACTGATCTGCAACTACTTAAATAACACAGCATCCGTCTAATCTCACTGTGGAGATACTAAGGTCAGGCTTTTCTTATTCAGGCATCTGTGCTTTAACACTCAAGTGAAGCGAAGAAGAAGAAAAAAAAAAAAAAAAGAAAAAACCTCAAGGAAGATCTGCCTTTACAGAGAAATACGTTCAGGTTATTTTTTCCCTCAACGTGGGCTTAAAACGTGTCAATGCGAGCAGGACCTGTTCGTTCGGCAATGGTTCCAAACCTCAGGATTTAATTTCTACGAGGGTCCAAAGGGTACGAAGGTCTGGGAAGGGGCCAATTTCTGCTTCTCCCCACTATGCCAGTCGTGAACTTCACAGCAACGCCTGAAACTTGTTGGGAGGAGGCTGCAAGAGATGCGGGGCCGGCGGTGGGTCGCTCTCGCAGCCTCGCGGGCAGCCAAGGTCAGTCAGCAGGGCCGGGGCTCCGGCCCCGGCTCGCAGCCCCCGGGAGGTCGCCGACTCCCTCGGAACTCCGGCCGGGGGCTCGGGCGCACAGGCGCCTCCTCGGCGCCGGCGGCAAGGGGCTTCCCTCGCCGCAAGCCCGGGGGAGCTCGCGCCGCGGGGGCGGCGGGGCGGGGACGCCGCAGACCCGCTGCCGAGGGGAGCCCCGCCGGGCTGCCTCGACCCGCCGCCCCTCCTCACATCCTCCCGTCTCCCCGCGCCCCAAAATCCGGCCCCAACCTCTCGCCGGGGAAGCCCTTCCAGTGGCGCAACGGGGCGCTGAGGAAGGGCCACTCCAGGCTGGGGCACCCTCGCCGCGTCGCCCCGTTCTGGGGGGACCTGCGCCGCCGCCCCTTCTCAGTCTGCCCGGGGAGACCGGGTGGGTCCCCTCTCTCCGGAGAAGCTGCATGGAGCGGAATCGACGTGGGGGCAGAAGGGCTTGAGGGGCGGGTGGCGGCGCAGCTACTCACCCCGCTGAGTCCCCCACCTCCAGCCGGGGACCCCACAGCTCCTGAGGCCGCCGTCGCCGCTTTACCTTTCCCAGTGGCAGGGACAACTAATGGAAACCTCCGGCCCCGCCCTCTCGCAGAGGCGAACGCGCAGCCTAATTTGCTAACTGGCCCGCCCCGGCCGTCCCACTCGGGCCAATGGAGAAGCTTCGAAGACCCCGCCAGGTCCCGCCTCCGCCCCGCCCACTTCTGGTAGAGACCAATGAGGAAAGAGCGCTCGTCCTCGAGTTCGGACCCGCGCGCCCCGCCCGCGCCGCTCGTGCTCGGACCCCAGGAACCTAAGAACGCTGGTTCCTTGTATAAGCTCGCCTGCGCGCGCACGCGCGCGCCGCATCTCCTCGCGGGCCAGGTTTGGTTGCCCAGCCAAGCCTTTAGCAACCTGGGCTGGGTGGCCGGGAGGGGCGGGGCCCGAGCCTGGAGCGGTCGGGAGGAGGGGGTCAGGGGGAGGAGGGCGGGGGTAAGGGGGGAGGGGCGGGGAAGATCGTGACTAAGAAGGGGCTGGCTGCGGGGGTGGAGGGCCCGCGGGGCCCGGGAATCCGCCTCTCACTGCGGAAAAAAAGGGGAATCCTGCCTGCGGCGCAGCGATCCTGGCCACCCTCCAGAGCGACACGTGCGGGGGGGCAGAAGGGTCGTGGAAGAAGGGGGAGAACGCGTTTAGGGGGCGAGCCAAGGAACTGCTTGGAAATAAAGGACAGAGGACAGTTTATCTCTGTCTTTGGTAAAAATGATATCGTATCGAAGTCTATTGCAGCTGCTGCCCAACTGTTGCAGCTGTGCGTGCACACATACAGTCACATATACACACATTCACACGTACACTCATCCATCAGCCTACGATCCCTTGGGTGAATTAGGAGCAAAGAACTAGTAGCCTGAGGATTCCTTACACAGCAGCTGGATGCAAGCAAAAAGGCTGTTGCAGCAGAGGCATCAACCCACAGCTCTGCTTTGGTCCAATGCTCCACCACACAAGATTCCCCAGCTGGCAATGAAGTCATCCCCGACCGGTAGAAATGTAAAGATCTTCATACCTACCAACAATCAGGTTTCCAAAGAGGATGAAGAGGTGATGAAATGGAAGGAGATACATTTCCAATGCCACTTTTTGAAAATTAAGAAAAATAATCTTGTTTAAAGGCATTGTGGGCAAATCTATGTAAAGCTGCAAAATAATTTCCACGTAAAGCGAAGAGGAAAAATGGGTTTCTTTCTGGTTTAGGAAAGGCGCAGAAAACAAGCATTGTATGAGGTCATAGCAGCCACCAAATGAGAAATAAGCAGTACTGTACAGCAATGGGAAATACATATCTTGGATTAAATCCACTTAATCTATTCCTGTCGTGAATCTGGTAACAATATGTAACAAGATGCTGTGTTTGGCCACTTGGTGCCAAGCCACTAGGGTTTCCTTTCTCATAGCATGGTGAATATTTGATGAGGAAAGAAGGTGCCTGCTTTCTCTTCAGCTTTTCAGGAAGCAGATTAGAAAATTTTTCAGGTAGGAACCATGAATTAGCAGTGAGGGAAAATGGAGTCAGAGCCAATAGCAGATCTTTGCAGAGTCTCCTGCCTTCTCCAGATGCAAAGTAACAGTGCCCTGACCTCCAGCTTCACCCACGTGGAGCCAGAATTCCCAGGCCAATCATGCCATTTTCATCCCTGCGTGTTAGCGCCTTCATGCCAGGAATTGCTGCAGCATTACTTCTGAATCAAATGAAGAATGGTTTCTCTGTATAGACTGAGAAAAACCAATAACTGGATATTCACTGATATAGGTCCGATTTAGTTTTAAATAGTAATACTAGATGTATTATAATGTGCCATCCCACATATAACTATGGCCTTCCACTTAGGGACATTTACTTTGATCCGGTTCTAAAGAGTTGGTGAAGGGTTTCTTAGAACCACATCCAGTTCTGCTAATTGCAATATTGATCAAAAGCATGTATTTTCTAGGTCAATAAGAGTTAAAAAGTACCACTCTGGGCAGCCCCGATGGCTCAGCGGTTTAGCACCTGCCTTCAACCCAGGGTGTGATCCTGGAGACCCAGAATCGAGTCCTACGTTGGGCTCCCTGCATGGAGCCTGCTTCTCCCTCTGCCTGTGTCTCTGCCTCTCTGTCTCTCATGAATAAATAAATAAAATCTTTTAGAAAATAAAAATAAAAAATAAAAATAAATAAAAAGTCCCACTCTGCCATTTAACTGAGCTCTTTTCTTATGTAGAAAGAACACTAATACTTAACCACTGAATGAATGCCTGCTATGTGCCAAGAATTTTACATACATTTAGAGCTGCCAGATAAAATACAGGAGGCCTGTTAAATTTGAATTTCAGATAAGCAACAAGTAATTTTATAGTGTAAGTATATATTTTTATCCTGGATACATGTGGGACAAGGGTAGAAAACTAAATAAGCTTTCTAATCATTGTCCAAAAAAACATTTTTGAAATTGCCCCCTCTGGGCCCAGACCTCATAACAAAAGCAGGATCTGGGAGAAAAGCTTAAGAACCAAATCAATGTGAAAAAATAAAAAAGAACCAAATCAACGCATCATCCCTGTGTAGTGTTTATAGAAAGAGGTGCACATACTTAAACTAAAAAAATGTTTTGCTTTTTATCTGAAATTCAAATTTAACTGGGAATCCTGTATTTTTATTTGCTAAATCTGGCAACCCTACATATGTTATCTCTGAGGCTCATGATTCTCTGAAATATTTTCTGTCAGGTCACATTTTTCCAGATGAAGCAATGACTTCAGAGGCTCCCCAGCATCTATTCATTCCATCCTCCTAATACTACGGCAACTGTGTTGAGGTATCCACACTCCCAGGGTAGTGGGTGCTTATTAGTCAATCAATGACTAAGGCCCAATCAGACTAAAGGAAAGGAATTAACATCCTATGATTTGAGGGAAAAGTTTTTCCCTTGTATCCTGCTGGATGAACAAGGAAGCAGGTACCTGGGTTCCCTCTGGCAGCCATTTTGTGTTTAGAGGAAAACCAAACTTAGGTTAAAGCCTGTACACTACATAAGGCAGGGTTGAAAAACAGAAAGAAAAAAACAAACAAAAAAACTGCTGTGTTCTCGATGACAACACTGAGTTGCTTAATTAAATAAATGCAAATGCCTTTGCCTTGCACTTAAGACAGTTTGAGTCAAAGTTTCTATTAGATGCCTCAAAAGTGTCCCACTACAGAGTGTGTGCTACTCATTATGGGTCTCAATAATAAATGAATAAGTAGCCATCAAGATGTAAGACATCTTTGGGGGATCCCTGGGTGGCTCAGCGGTTTGGCACCTGCCTTTGGCCCAGTGTGTGATCCTGGAGTCCTGGGATCGAATCCCGCGTCGGGCTCCTGGCATGGAGCCTGCTTCTCCCTCCTCCTGTGTCTCTGTCTCTCTCTCTATAATAAATAAATAATAAATAAATAAATAAATAAATAAATAATTATATTAAAAAAAAAAGATGTAAGACATCTTTGTCCTGGATACATGTGGGACAGGTCTGAAAGACTAAATAAGCCTTTTAATCATGGTCAAAAAGCATTTATGATGATACTTACCTGGCAGGGAAGATACCATGATCACGAGGGTGGTTCTCACAGGGCGAGTCTCGTCCACTACACTCAGGTCGTTCTGACCACTGCAGGTTCCCCAAACATGGGAAACTCAACCCCAACTTCTGTTGGCAGAGGACTACAGGCCCTGTGGTAGTGGTGGGCGGCGGGGTGCAAAGCATATATGAAATGCCTGTTTGGCTTAGACCTCATAATGCAATCAAGATCTAGGAGAAAAGCTTAAGAGTCAAATCAAGGGGTAAATTTGTAGTGTTTGTAGGAAGAGGTGAACATTAGCTATTCCTTGGCCCCGCTCAGAGCTTAAATCAGACTGTCAGATCTTACATGTTTTCATTTAAAGTTCATGCCATTTGGGAAAATGTCATTTTAGAAATGCGAGTCCAGTACCTCATTTTAAACTATTAAAACCTCTATCCCTATCCTCCAGGCACTAAGTTTAACCGCAAACAGTGTGGAAAGAACAGAAATGTCAGCATCAAAAGACCCAAGAGGGAAAACCACACCAGAATAGAATACCATATGAAAGTGGATGGTTTGCAAGACAATGTAGTTTAGTGGCTAAAACCATAGACCTGGAAACCAGATTGCCTGCATTCAAATGCCAGCTCTAGTTGCGTCCTTAGGCAAATTGTTCAACTGCTCTGTGCCTCAGTTTCTTCCTCTGTAAAATGGGAAGATGACAATAATAGTTCTCACCTGATTGGTCTGGGTGAGTGACTATTTGTGAAATACTTAGCAGAGCACCTGGCCCATGATAAAGATTTTACAAGGATTAGCTATTAGTGAGCAGGGCTCAATTCCGTGGGGTATAAACATAAAGCAGTTTATTTTTCTCCAATGACTACTTTGAACCATGTATTTTTTTTGAACCATGTATTTTTTTAATGTGTGACATATAGTATCCCATTAGTTTCAGGGGTACATCACAGTGATTTGATATTTTTACATTGTGAAATGATCACCCCCAATAAGTCTAGTTACCATCTGTCACCATATGGTTATAACAATATTACTGACTGTGATATATATATATCTCATATATATATATATATATATATATATTTCATGTGCTGTACTTGACATCCCCACTTATTTATTTTATAACTGGAAATTTGTACCTCTTAATCCCCTTCACCTATTTCACCCAAAAACCATGCTTTTATGGCAAATTTGCCCTTTGTGTCCCTTCACATCTTAGACAGTTTTTCTAACATTTAGGTCTTTTTCAGCTATTAAAAATCAATCCAGTTTAAAACTCGAATGTTACCTTTTCGTTCAATCTCATTTCTCCTACTTGCTTCTCACTGTCATCACCTGCCAGGCTTGTGGCTCAAGGCACCTGAAGTGACAAAGGGGTTGGTCAGCCCTTTCACTTCTACTCCAGTTCCTTGGAGAGCAAGGTCGGTTCCCTCACCAAACCCAACTTCCCTGACCACAGGGGTTTTGGGA